TTTAGACATGTGCACACCAAAGCTGTGGATGTGAATCACTTGTCCATAAACCACAAGCTGAAGGGTCCGAGTCTGTATTTGGTTTGGGAAGCCCACAGGATCAGGCGTTTAAACATATTAAAGTGCAAGTGTTGCATTTAGGAGGGCAAAAAGTGTGGGTGCTTTACAGGAAACCTGCTTGCATCGCCCTTAGACCCATCCCATCTGTATGAGTGACAGCCAAAAGCACACAGGGTGAGTGGGAGAGAAAGACAGGTTGAGCGCATGCACACTTGTAGTTCAAAACTAAGAGCATGCAGCAAACTCTTTCACTCTTCAGTTCAACACAGGGGTCAGTGGTTACTGCTCTCAGGATATTGTGAATATGATATTGTGAAGACTTTTTCATCTGAGCTTAGTGCTTTAGGACATGCTAATAAGGTACAGTTTGTCATTTCATCTTCTTTGAGGGTTTGTTGTTTCTTCAGTAAATATGGCAGTTGTTGACAGATATTGTACAATTCTGGTTCACTATCGAATCTGAAAGTTTTTGAGTCATAATTCTAGTCATAAAGACTCTTTAAGAACTAAGGACTCATAAAAATGATTTTTTTTTGCTTTAGAAGCTCAATACAGACGTTGACAATTATTATAACCTAGATTAAAGTGTTAAGTGTAGTATTATACTGTAAATAAATTCTATTTTACTATATTACTTTTTCCCCTTAAATTATTAAGTTTATAATGTTATCGTTTTTATGAGATGTGAATTTTGTTTAAAAGGTTTAATTAAAAAAAAATTATTTACAAAAAAAAATTATAATAATAATTTTAAAACTTTTATTTGGCCTAAACTTTTCTTTATTTTTCATTAGATGCTACCCACTGCTATCACTTTTTGATTATCACAAATATTGCACACATGGTTTAGAGTAATGTTTAAAAAGAGAGAGAAATGTATTATATAAAGGTAAAAAAATAGTTGAATTTTTTGTTTTCTTGCTCACTGTTGGCTCATGTACACTGGTTCAGTGGTTAGTACCACAGCTGATGTTGAAACTTGGGAGGCCGGTCCCACAGCCCTGTCCCCTCATCATTTCAGAAACTATAGTCAAAGGAAATAAGCTAGACACCGCGGTAAAGGCAGGATATATGTTTTTTACCCTCAATATGACAAAAGGAAAGACGTGTTTTGTTAAATACTTCACCACACATGAAATGCCAAACCATTGGATGTTATACAGCATTATTGCTGCCACGTCCTGTCAAACTTGTACCTGACAGTTCAATCAGGCAGTGCATATATATATAACATATATAACATTTTCTAAATTATACTGAATTTTCACTCTTTTGTAAAATTGTTCGTTTGATTTAAAAAGATAAGTTTTTCTCATCGTTACACTTGCAAATAGTAACAGAATAATGACATTTGAATGCAAAATTATTATTGTAGCTTCATAGTTTTTACTGTACTAAAATATATGTCCAATTTAACAGGAAACCAACATTAAAGTTTAAAACGGATGTTGTGTATAAAAGGCTGTAATATAGCACCAATAAAAGCAAACCAACAGATGAGGAACAAGTTTAATTTGTTTTACACAATGATATAGCTAAAGGAAATGAAACTGAGTGGTAACCAGAATGACTGCAAATGCATATTAAGCATCAACGTAAACTAATTTGTTTATTTTCAACGTGAGGGAGTATGCTGAGAAACTCTTCCTGACATTCTGATGTCTGTGGTTAGACCCCTGCCTTCGTTTACTGGAGAACAGGCTGGCTCCCAAAAGATTGTCTTATCAAGGGTTGACATTACTGTTCGCAAAGCCAGCTGATAGGACAAATCCAGCCCAACGAAACTTCATGTCCAGTCACACAATATGACAATTGGAGCACATGGGAAGAGAAACGTGAAACAGTTTCAAACAAGATATATTCTTATGGTAAATGTAAATTTTTTGAAGTTTCAGAGTGACATTATCGTCCGTTTACAGGTGTGTAGAAAATGTTTTTAAAATTGTTAGCATGCAGTCACAACTGACCTATATTGCCCTTTATGTGAACGCTTGCATTGTTTGTGTCTTTTTCTCTTTATTTTTAACTCTACAAATGCGTTTGACTTGACATTCGTGCTTGACAAAATACAAGAAGTTTCTGATTTCATTTAATGTTTTAGACTGATTCACTGCATCAGGTGTCTGTCCTGAATGTGTTCAGCAATCAACAGTGTACTTCCCCTGAGGATCAGCTGTGAGGTCAGTATCTTTATGAGGAAAAAATATATATATAATTCAGCTATGTTTTCCCAGTGAGAAAAGACGAAAAATATATATATATTTTTTTAAATTAATGAATAAATGCTGTAAAATCTATCTGTACCCCGCAAAATTGACTTCTTAATAAGCTGAATTAGTACTTTCTCTACTGAAAAATATTTAAAAACAAAACTTGTGAGAATGCATATTTATTTTACAGATATATTTTGTCTTACTGCACTAGCAGATTTTTTACTGGATACTTAAAACACTTGAAAAAATTAATATATAAAATGAAAATTCAAAAATGAGTATAATGCAAATGTGTATTTTATAAATGTGTATATATATATATATACGCATGTGTGTATGTGGTTGAAAACAAGTCTTATGCAGTAAATCTATCTTGTTTCAAGGATTTGAAATAATTATATATTTTAATAAATATTTAAAGACATTTAAATGACAAAAATAATCAATGTTTATCAACGTTAAGGGACTGGCAAACCCTGGAAGACTGCATGGGGAGGTGTCCACCAATGTCACTGGATTCCGGGCACATCGCTCCCCCCAGCATATGGAGATGGACTTGGCCTGGCAGGAACTGATGGCCATCACAGAACTTCAGGTGGGTACACTGGAACAACCCACTAAGCTTCCTCTTTTACATGCACAAATATCAAAACTCAAGAAAATGTCTGATTATTTTGTGGTCGGATACAGCCAGTCGTTTTAGAGTCTTAATGAAATGGTGGCCTTATAACATTTTTCTAATGCTGAATCCTCTGTAAACACACACATTACGCTATGATCTGCAACAATGGGCCAATTGAGTGATGCGAGGATAAAGGCAGACAGAGAAAGAGGGTGAGTGCTGTATATTGCCGACAGACCCCTGCATAGCACAATGACCGTCTGTTTCGACATGAAACCTGAGCGCTCCCAAGTAAGACCTGCACAAGCTACGGGTGGCACTTTCACCCAGGTGGGCTGGTCCTGTAGTGAGCAGAATACAACCCTTCTCTGCAGCACAAATCAACTGAAAACCTTCTCTTTACTAGTGTTTTATTGTAAAAGAGTTTGATCTGAATCACCTCCAAGGTCAAGTTTGAGTGAAACTGGAAGTTCTTGTTATTAAAACATTATTTTTGTCACAGGAGTTTGAGGTACCCAATGAGAATCCCTTTGAAGCTATTCCACACCTGTCCATGGAGCCCATGGTTTCTCAAGGGGGGTTCGGGATGAGTCAACCGCAGCCAGAATCCATCCCTGCCACTTGTGATGCCCATTCTGCTGGTGTTTATGAAAATGCATACCCTGAAATGATGCCACCCTATCAGCGTTTGAACCCACACATGGATATGCACTACAGCCTCCCTGTCAGCCACGGTTCCTCAAGAATGCTTGCGAATACGCAAGCTCTTCATCCACCTCTCACGAGTCTTTTGGAGCACATGAACATGACGACACGCAGTCATGGGATTGTGAAAGACAGCGTTATCAACCTTCACTGCACAGGACAAATCAAACAGGCTTGTGCAGATGATCTCGAGTCAGATTCCGGTTTGTCGCTTGGTTCAAGCCCACCGCTTGCCTCTCCTGAGAATGCAGTGCATGGAGTACCTTCGTACTTACCTGCTGATCGTACGATGGGCTACGCTGAAAGCGAAAGTATTGGGGAGCTATGTCGCATGCGGCCGAGTTTGCTTGGGTCTGTTGACTACCAGCAGTCCTACAGTTCATACCCTGGAACTTCTTATCCCACAACTGCAAACATGCAACCCATCAACCAGCAGACTTACCAACCAATTGCATCAATGAAGCAACCGGTTTTACCCACAGCTCTGCATGATCTACAACTAAATAGCTCAGGTTTAACAAGACTGGGCTCATATCAATCTATGTATCCAAATCAAAAGTCGAGCAGTGTTTCTGTACACCTGAGCAGAGACGAGCGGCGAGCTCTCGCTCTCAAAATCCCATTCTCACTGGAAAAGATTGTGAACCTACCAGTGGATGACTTCAGTGAGCTCTTGACCCAGTTCACACTGAGCGACGCTCAGCTGGCACTCGTGAGGGACATTCGCAGACGAGGGAAGAACAAAGTGGCTGCTCAGAACTGCCGTAAGCGGAAGCTGGAGAACATTGTGCATTTAGAAAACGAGCTGGGACAGCTTAGAGCCCAAAGAGAACATTTAAGCAGAGAGAGACTGGAGTTTCAGCAAAACCTAGCCATTATCAAATGTCGGCTCTCAGATCTTTACACCCAAGTGTTTTCACAGCTTCGTGATGAGGAGGGACACCTTTATTCAGTTGATGAGTATTCACTACAACAAACTAATGATGGCAACATTTACTTGGTGCCACAGAACACAGCCCTGGAGGGTGAATGAACTAATTTTTTTTTTTTTTTTTTTTAAGTCACCCATAGATGGAGAACTAAATTCATGAGGTTCCTACACTTAATGACCAATGAATTAATTACTTCAAATAAATCATGAATGGACAAAGACTTAATCACTTAAGAGATCACACAAACAGGAATTTTTAACCAAAGTAGTTTAGGCCAGTATAACTACAGAAATTGCAAAGAGCTTTTATGATTAAGAAAACGCTTCCAAACTTGTGTTAGACTACACTGTGGGTGGGCGGCAAACTACTTTTGTACATTAAAACATTGGTCTAAAACAATCATGTCCAACATACAAACACATGCTTTCAGTTAATGAGTTATACACAAGACACGGATCACATCATTTGTAGAATTAAAATTTTTATTGGTAAAAAAAAAAAAAAAAAAGCTAAAACCGGTAACAAAAATAAAATCTCGTCAGCTGCATTTTGGTCCTAGAAAAGAAAAAATCATTTTAATTTGGAATATTGTAAACAAGATATTGCACTACAATAGCAAGTACCTTTATCATTTCACCAGTTTTGAAAGACAAATGCCTTTTCATTTCAAGAGATGATTTTCACTTGTCAGATCCTGAAAAAGCAAGCGTAACATGGTCAGCACATTAAATATAGAACATGAAAAACCAGTGGGCATGCATTAAAAAGTGTGTAAGTTTTACAAAATCTTGTGCACCAAACTATGCTGACTGCAGTTACTTCCCCTGTAACATACACAACACTGAATGGGAAGTTGACATTAACTGTACAGCTTCTGCTAATAAATTGTTTTACAATTACCAGCGGTAGTTGAGAAGTCTGTTCTTACCTACAGGAGTTATAAAAGCGCTGCCTGCTAGTCTTTGAGTGGCGCCCTGTACTCCCTGCTTCGTCACAGGGCGATGATCTTGCTACTCCTTTCTCAGCCTGCTCCCATGGCTAGACTGATATGCAGCCACACTACTCTAGGCATTTGCATTAAACAGCCTATGCTTTTTGAACCAATTTTGACCATTTACCTCATGTTCCCTTAAGAGATCAGGTTTCCATTTTTTAAAGAGCCAGATGACAGTCTTGAGTTTACTTTCTACTAGAAGGGCTCAAAGAAGCTCTCCATCAAGTTCAAGTGTACTACACTAAAACCCCCAGAAAATAAATGACTAAAACGCACATCTTTAAAAAAACAAAACAAAAAGGATGTTTTATTTCACCTTGATTGGTTACATAAAAATCAAAACCATAAAGACTGAAAGTAATTCTACATAGAACCTCATTGGAATGCTTTTCCCATAGACAATATAAAATAAGTCTGCATGACAAATTCATGATGTCCCACACATGATAGCGCTACTGTACACTTCTTCTGGTGGCAGCTGTAAATCTGCCAAACCTGTTTGGCTGAGCAGATCTAGGGATGTAAACCTGCATCTGCCCTGTCACTTCTCTCGCTCTCCTCTCCTAAAGCACTCAGTCCTGTTGAACAATATGAACAACAAATGTTAAGCTGCACACTACCTGAGGTTTGTTTCTACACCAGATATACAGCAAGGTTACAGTATAGCAATGAGCATTCAATCCAAGACTAACGTATTGGGTTTGTTAATCAGTAAACCAAGCCATCTGAAAATCGATTTAAAATTAGACAAAAGAATTTGAAACCAACCTTTCTGAGCTTAAAACCGTCTACCACCAGAGCCGCCTCCATATCCACCACCAGATCCACCACCATAGCCACCTAAAACAGATGGCATGTCATTTAGGATTCAAGTTGTTTATATAAGCAGACTTAAACCAAGAGAAATGGAAAAGGCCATTATGAACAACTCACCACTATATGGGCCACTGTTTCTTCCTCCGCCACCTCCAAAGTTCCCTTTCATGGGACCATAGCTGGACTGCTGGTTGTTATAGCTGCCAAAGTCATAGTTACCACCTCCACCGCCGCCACTACCACCTCCAAAGTTGCCTATTCATAGTTAAACCACATACACCTGGTTACTGCTGAAAATTCAAGTTATTTGTATGGAAATGAAGAATTCAGACTGGCATCTACTCACCACCTCCAAAGTTTCCATTGCCATTGTTGTAATTGTCATTATAGCTACCACCGCTGTTGCTACCGCCACCGCCACCATAACCACCGCCCTGGTTGCCATAACCCTGTCCTCCTCCGCCACCACTACCACCTCCATATCCACGATTTCCACCATAGTTACCAGGACTGCCACCATAACCACCTGGAGAAAGCAAAAGGAACAAGTTACTTAACATTAACAAAAAGAACATTTTACCAAATTGTACTTTCAAAGAACTAAGAAACCACTGTATACCATCGCCGCTGCCAAATCCATTGTTGTAGCAGTCGCCTCCATAACCACCGCCACCTCCACCACTTCTGCCTCCTGAAAAGGATCGTGAAAAGTGCTTTAAGTCAACACGAAAACTTAAAATACACCATTCAAAACACTTCAACGTCTACTTAGGCATGTACCTCTTCCAAAATATCCATCACGGTTGCCGCCTCCACTGCCTCCAAAGTCATTGTTGTAGCCGCCATTGTTGCCATATCTGTTGAAGTTTCCACCTCCTCCTCCACCACCACCCCGGCCTACAGATTTAAAAAAAAAAAGAGTGAAAGTCTAATACACGCAAGCACATTAAAACAGAGGGGGGAAAAAAAAGAAACCCTTGATCAACTTACCTCTCATGTTCATGCCAGTGTTTTGCATCTCTTGTTTAGACAGAGCTTTTCTGACTTCACAGTTGTGCCCATTCACCGTGTGGTATTTCTGAACTAAGGGGAAGATGCGTGTTAATTTATATTAAAAAGACCCACAATATTAAGACATTACAAGTGACACTTGAATGATAGCACTTACTGACGATACGATCAACAGAGTCATGGTCATCAAACGTAACAAAGGCAAAGCCTCTTTTGTTTCCAGTCTTGTGGTCAACCATAATCTCAATGGCCTCAAGTTTGCCAAACTCTGTGAAGTAATCACGAAGATGGTTCTCCTCAGTGTCATCCTTAATGCCACCCACAAAGATCTTCTTCACAGTTGTGTGAGCAAATGGCTTGTTGGAGTCCTGAAATCGATACATGCAATTAGGCAACTGCACTCATACACATCTTTAGAAAAGTCTTTGCATTACAAAAGCTTGGGGTGCTAAACCTCACCTCTCGAGACACAGCTCGCTTGGGCTCCACGAGCCTACCGTCAACCTTGTGGGGACGTGCATCCATAGCAGCATCGACTTCACCCACACCGCAATAAGTGACAAACCCAAAGCCCCTGGAGCGTTTGGTGTTTGGATCTTTCATCACCTACAGCAGCACATAAACAAGCATAATAAGGGTTAAAACACCTAGTGGTCATCACCATACAATTAAAACACAATACTTAGTGTAAGATTATGCGAAGACACGATCCATATTGTTGAACCCTGTAGATAAGCAAGACGTAAGGAACTTACCACACAATCCGTTAAGGCGCCCCATTGTTCAAAATGCGCCCGCAAACTATCGTCTGTGGTTTCAAAGCTGAGCCCTCCAATGAAGAGCTTCCGCAGCTGCTCTGGCTCACGTGGTTGGCCCTGAAAATATCAACCCGTAATAACTTAGTACCATTGAAACGAAGTCCGTCGTGTGTATTATTCTGCAGCGGATATTAAACTAACAATGTATTCATGCGCGAAGCGTCACGAAACCTTGAGGTAACAGACTATCTGGGGGAGGTGAACAAACACCTCCGCCATGTTGGTGTCGGACAAAGCGGCCCATTTATAAACAGTAGCTTTGTTTCAGTGAAACAATCGAGATAATAAATTGATGCAAACCATCACAGTTATGGCCAATGAATAATTAAAACAAAGAAACTACGATTTTTGAGAACACGACCTTCAACGCAAGCACGCGGCCTGTGTGCATAGTACAAGATTTAAAATGGCGGCTGAACGCGCTATTTGCATTAACAAAGAGCCATGAAGGAGATCCGAGTTAAATCGGAAAACATTCAGAACATTAAAACTACGTAGCTTTTATCAAACAAAACAGAATACATTTTTAAAAACTACCTACCTCTTTGGACATCCTACCGACTATTTCTGACTGTACTGTGCTGTGCTGTGCTGTGCTGCGCCACACGCTTATCGGTGAAACACACACCGAGGACTGGGGGGATAATATTAACAGCTCGGGTAAATACAGTCCCCGCCTACTGCAGACGATGATTGGTTTACGCTTCCCGCTAACGCTTTTATTGTGCGTTTTGAGGATACCTGATTGGCTGACACTCAAGTCAATCCCTGGAACAGAGGTTAGTACTTTTACACATCTTTCTCAAAAAAAAAAAAGTTTTTTATAAAAGCTATTAAAAAATACGTTATATTAATAATTTACTATAAGTTATGATTTGATTCATATAGCTTCGATATCACGTTCAACCCTTATGCAAAGGCACTCAATCATACCTTTCTTCGAAAATATGTATTTTTCTAAAAAGGTGTGATTAAATGTAGATATTTTTTAAATATCAGAAACATTTTTTTTTTAAATATCAGAAACATCCAGCAAAGTCTGTGGTGCCGTGTGACGCGTGAGGCCGTTTTTGGCGCGAGAGCGGCTCGCTCAGGCGCACGCTGATTGGCTGGACGCGCCACTGGACGGATGCGTGTGAGAGAGGTACTAGCAAACTCCTGTGTGCAGGGAAAAAGCCGCCGCCGCCTCAGCCTCATTATCCAACACGAATAAGAAAACATCGAAAAATATCTCAGTAAGTATACAGTAATCATCCACATTAACGTCAGAATATGTTATTGTAGATTCCCCTTGCACTGGGAATGATTTAATCCGTCAGCGCTACGCTTTAACATAATAGGATCAGGTGAAATCTGTTCGGCTCGGCCCGCGCTGTTGCTAAGCAAAGCCTCAACTGCGTTAGCGCGCACGACGATAGTATTCAAATAAATGCGAAAAAGCGCACAAATGCTTTGCTTGCAGCGGTCAGACGCAGAGAACCGAAGAAAGAAGTAGCGCATTTATGCTAATTAAGCTAAATTAGTCTGCTATCATGTGCGCCTGGATATCTGAGCCTTGTTTATTGTTTTTGCAGGCATTGGCTAGCTGAGCTTGCGTTATACGCATATAGCACGACACCAGCAAACGCGTGAATTTATTTTTCTAACCTCTTGCTTTCTCTCATTGTTTTTGTTCTGTTGCTATTTCAGAATGAGCTCATAGCGAGGCAAGCAGTAGCAATCAATGGGACTAACGTTACTGTAGCTAAATGTTAGCAGCGCAGCTAGCACTGCATTTAAATCCGTTTACGTTGTGAATTATGTTTTGTATTTTGGAATAAATGCATTGGGAGTTAGATCGGATATGGCATGCGATGTGAAAGTATGAAAATGTGAGAGTCGTGCAGGGCTGTTTAATGCCTTCACATTGTTTGGCATTGCTCGCTAAGATCCTTCATGACATTAAGATAAGAACACATGGCTGGTTTATCGCATTTCTAGTGCGTGGTTGATTAAATATCTATCTTAGTAAATGAATATAGGTATTGCATCCCGTTATAACCGCTTGATTTGAATGTAATATATTCAGACTGCATGCATTGTTGTTTCTTTAGCTTTGATAACAGAATGTGCACAATGTTTACTAACAAGTAAGCATCCTTTGGAGTTTATTTATTTTTATTATTATGCATATAGGCTTTAAAATAACTCTGCAGTTCCTCAAATCAAAGACATGGTGATCTTTTGTGTGTCTATTTGTTAAGAGTCCTCTAGAATTATTTATTAGAGCAGTGTATGCGTTTGCATGCCTTATGCATGTTTATTGATATACATTTTGGGTATATTTAAGTGCAGTAATGTTTAAATTAATTGTATTTGTTTAGGGGAGCTCTGAATGCTGTAATCTCTGCACTTTAAGAGGTCACGTCCTCCAATATAATACCGTAGGTGAGTGTCGAAAAATAAATATTGACTTTTGTCATTGCAGTTAAGGTAAGCAAGGTTTAACCTTAAGTCGTAAGATTTTGCTCATACTGTCCAGCCTTTGTTGTTATAATGTTAAAAGTAACTTTAGTTCATGTTATGGTTGTTTTTGCTGGAAATAGAATTTTCACAGTATAGACAACAGTCCATATTAATGCCATATAATATAGGTAATACTTATACTAGTGAAGTTTCATGATTTTCAGTCTCACAACAGAAACTAATGCTAATTAATAATTACTAAGTAAACATTGTGCCTTGTCTTCAGGCAATCATTAAAATGAACAGTGAGTAATAAAATATAATTGAAGAGACAAATTACAAGTAAAGACAATAGAATGAATGAACTCTTTTTTTTTTCTACACTCAGTTCTATCATATTGTAAGTAGAAATTATCGAATCTAAAATAAACCACTAGCATAGGCTTCACTGTATGAATTAAGATGTAGTACATTAATACTTACATTAAAAGGTATGTAGCCCAAAGCTATGATATTTTCTTGTCGATATTATTGTTGGATTAATATTAATTGCATAACTGACAGCAATAGATTTATTTAGACGTTTACACTGCAAGACCTAATGCACAGATCTATTTTGACGTCCGATGTTTGTTTATATTTAAGATGTATTTGAAATGAATATGCATCTGATCAGTCAAATACACTCTTTGCTGAGTTTATTACTCTTTTTGTATTTTATATGGTAAATGGGCTCCAATTACCCAGCCCTATGTATAACTTTAATAACATTTTTTTCCCCCCAGTGGGAACACTTTCCTCCCCAGACCAGGGAGCCTCACAGGTCACATTTGCTCATAGGAAAGACATTCAGAATCAGCCATGGGAAAGAAGAACCAGAACCGTGAAGATGGTGAGGCAGCTTCCTCAGAAGAGGAAGAGTATGTAGTGGAGAAGGTCTTGGACAGGCGAGTTGTGAAGGGCCGTGTGGAATATTTCCTGAAGTGGAAAGGCTTTTCAGAGTAAGTCTTCATTGTACTTCATAATAAACTAATAGTGTCTAAGCAGTAGTATAGACAATTTCAACTCAAGAAGAGGTGGATGTGTGTTACTGCATGTAAAAGTCTTAAAATGCATGACTATGAAAAACATCAGAAGTTTTACATTGAGATGATGTGGACAAGTCTAAATTTTCAAGTGATTTAAGGTTAACTAGTTTGAAGAACCCTCACAGTTTTGTCATAGTATGTAAACATCCTGAAGGCATATCTATGATGTGAGGAAATCCAGTGGCTGCATTGTTTTGCAGAAAACACAACACATGGGAACCAGAGAAGAACCTGGACTGTCCAGAGCTTATCTCAGAGTTCATGAAGACCTATACAAAGGGAAGCAGTGGAAGCACACCCAGCAGCAAGCCCTCCAGCACAGGCTCTTCTTTGGCCCGTCCCAAAGACAGTAGCAGCAGCACCAGCAAGAGGAAAAACTCAGAGGAAGAGAACGGGAGTGGCAGTAAGCCCAAAAAGAAAAAGGAGGTAAGAGCTTAACAAGAAAAGGTCTGGGCCTGGGCGATAAAACTGTATCGATATTTATCGACGATACACCGTCATCGTTAACGATAGAAAAAATGTTCGATATAGCGCATGATAGTTTCTCGCTTATTTCATTTAAAGGCACATTATTAGTGACAAGCAGACATCCAACAGAACACACAAACACATGCTGAAATGAGTGCCGTGCCTGCCTGAGATGAGGAGACTGAATTAAAAAAAAAAGGAATATTAGTTGAATTTAAAATAAAAACTCGCATTCGAATGCAAAAACGGTGTATTTGAATTTTAGGTGTGTCAGGGAGCCTTATCAGTGGCGCACAAGATGCGGTGATGATGATGTAAATGTCGTTTTCCATTCAAAATATTAGAAAAATATAGAAGCTCAAAGCGGAGAAGATATCTTGCGCACCTCTTATAAGGTTCCTTGATGCACACCTAAAATTCAGATACACCGTTTTTGCATTCGAATGCAAATTTTTATTTTAAATTCGACTAATATTCCTTTTTTTATTCAGTCTCGTCATCTCAGGCAGGCACGGCACTCATTTCAGCATGTGTTTGTGTGTTCTGTTGGATGTCTGCTTGTCACTCATAACACGTGCCTTTAAATGAAAAAAGCGTTTAACTATCGTGCGCTATATCAAACATTTTTTCTATCGTTATCGATGAGGGTGTACTGTCGATAAATATCGATACTGTTTTATCACCCAGGCCTAGTTGAAATTCTCTCTAAAGTTTGTTTCTTAATTCATTCTTCGCTTAAAGGAATAGATCAGCCAAAAATGAAAATTGACTTAAAATGTACTCAACCTCAGGCTATCCAAGATGTAGATGAGTTTGTCTTTTCTTTGAGAGAGATTCTTGAAGATATTTAGCATTACATCACTTGCTCACCAATGGATCCTCTGCAGTAGATGCGTGCCGTCAGAATTATTTTGCATTGTGAACTCGGACAAAAGCAGAGGTTTACAGTTAAACGCCTTTATGATGGATTGGTTTTTGATAAACATCTTATGTTTTTATTAGCTGTTTGGACTTCACTGTAGAGGGTCCATTGGTTGACCAAGTGATGTAATGCTTTTCAGTAAATGTTAATTTTTGGGTGAACTATTCCTTTAAGCGTTATGTTGTGGTGGCCAGTGTATTTAATGTGATGTTGTAAAAATAAAACATCTATTTGAAGTAATATTACGATTTTTAATTGTTGTCTTTGTTCTTTCTAGGATGAGATCCTTGTAGCAAGAGGGTTTGAGCGAGGCCTGGAGCCTGAGAAGATTATTGGAGCAACAGACTCCTGTGGAGACCTTATGTTCCTTATGAAGTGGTGAGTATAGCAGCTCTTTACATATCGGGAGCAATTTATTTGAATGAAACTCCTTATTAGAGCTTAGAAACACATTGGAACCAAAGCCACAAGTCTGACCATATTCTAGTTAGAATAATAGTCAGTGTTTGACATTGAAATTTGATTTAAATTCCATCACAAGTGGTCACAGGAGATGCCTGTTGATACCAGGAGTAAACAGGGAAGTGCCACAACTGACCAGTTGTGATTGGATCACCCGAGATGGATGTTAGGACAATAGTGTCAATGGCCACATTTACATCTTGTATTATGTCTGAAATGATGCAAACTGCCCCATTCTTGTTTCTTTGTCCTACCCTGTTGAGAGACTGAAAAACCATTATTCTTTTGTCACCGTTCTACACCTATTTACACCTGTACATTCGAAACCCGTCATTGTAGTCTCCACTCTGCATTTATTTATATTTGCTTTACAGTTTCTGCATTTCTAAGCTTGTGTTTGTGTTTTAATTCAAATATAATTGCACTTCCTGACTGGTACACAAACTGTACAGGCTATATTTAGCTTAACATACATAAAAAGTGTTCACTTTGACAGACTACTTAAATTAGTCCATAAACATGTTCCTTTTATGTGTGCATTTTCTTCATAGAATGGGGCAGAAAACGCAGTGTTTATTTCAGGTGCCGCTAGGCCTGTCGCAATAATCAATATATCGACTTATCGCGCAATATATATACATGACCTCAATCATTTTTGGTGACGCAATATATCGCCCATTATATTTACTTAAAAATTAATGTCACCATGTTTTGTACATTCCACTTGCGCCTGTGTCTTTTGCAGCTTCTCGTACATAACGTGGTGTAGTCATGAGGTGCTAGTTCAAATTTAAAAAGTGCTTCTACAAACAAAGTTTCATCTGCAGATATGGCCTTGTTTAGGATCTGTGCCTTTGTGCATATAGACATCTGACTGCTAAGTAGTGATTGTGTTTTTCAGCAATAGTGTGCACCCTTCATTTACAGAGAAAAGAAGGTCAGGGGAAAATCTGTAGATGGAAAAATCTACATACAAGTTCTTTGTGCATTTTTCTTTTTTTGTACTTGTTACTTTGCACTTTTTGTTAAATAATGTTTTACTATTTATTCAGGTTTTTTAAGGTATCTTATATTTTGATACTTAATTTCCGTAATCTAAATATTCTTAAAAATTAAAAGTTTGTTGTCATTTGGAAGTGTGTAGGCCTTCTTGCATTATTATGACTGTACATTATGATTATATATTCAGTGACAAAAAATGGTCTTTAAAATGACAATAATATCGCTTATCGCAATTATTTCTGGGGCAATATATCGCACAACAAAAAGTTGTTATCGTGACAGGCCTAAATTTGCACCTTTTCAAATTGATTTAATACCAGAGACAGACTGAAATTAGTATATTTTAGAGGCCTTGTACTATGGTTAAAAAAGTTTGCTTTTTGATATTAAATAGTTAATAGTTTGTCTAAATGTGGCTTAATTGCAATGAGGAGAATATTACCAATGTATGCAAGTGTCTGGTATTCCTTTTTTACTGGCCGTTGGCTTGAATGTTGCTCTGGCTGAAAAGTTTGAATAAATGATGAAGGGGATGTTGTTTCACAGACACAAAGGCACAGTCTGACTTAGGTCTAGGATGACTGAAGACAACAGTCTTAGAAGTACTATGCAGTGCAGTGTGCAGAAAATCAATCAGGCCTGCATACTGTCTGTTCATTTATTCTTAGGTTAAAAATGGACTTGCATGTGTTGAAAACATTTTGTGTAATTGATTACTGATTGTGTGCCTGCTTAGTATGTATTGCTTGATGAAAATGTTCTGTACTAGAAGTGATTAAATCGCTTCTAGTAAAGAAATGCTACATGATGTTTTCCACTGATTCAGGAAGAAAGGAAAAGAAGTCAGCAAAACCAGGGATTTAGGCAGGGGGAAAGACTATATCCTGTCCATCAATTCAACACTAAAGTAATGCTTTGTCATGGACTACACTTTATTGCAAAATAACTACTGTTCCTTGACCATCTACATTTATGAATTTGGCCAATAATTTTATCCAAAGCAACTTACATTGGATTTAAGTTTTTTTTCAGTTCATGCATTCCCTGGGAATCGAACCCACGGTCTTCTCTTGTTAGCAGCATGCTCTACTGTTTGAACTACAGAAAGGCTAAACAGCCTTTGTGTAATGTATTTTCGCTCAGTAACTGTACTGAGGGTGATTCATACAGATGGATTGTATGTGATGCATGAAAAATTGATTGGACACTGACTTTTTTAACACATCCATGTTCTTCTTTCTTTTATCTTGGCAGGTGGAGAATTGAATGGAGATCTGCATGGGGTAAGTTTTCCATTAAAATCAGAACACAATGTGTTAATATTATTACTTATTACATTGGAGTATTTTTTTAGTTAGTTTTCTCTTTTGCATGTAGTACAGCCACATTTACACCGCAAAGACTGTTGTGTGTTGATGCACATGCACAGATTACATTTACTCATTTACCGTAAACTTTGTAACACGTGTTACACGTTTATTTGTACATGTCAATCCTCATTGCATTATATATATATTTTTTAAATGGCAGTGTGTTTAAATGTCATGTCATTGGGAGATTTGCATTACAAGCTATCAGAATTTCATCTTTTTATGTGAATAACAGCAACTGTACTAAAGTGCATATTTTAAATAAAACTGAGGTGTTTTTTCTTCCTCAAGCATGAGCTCTATTTTCTCGATGTATCATACTCTATAGGCCATTAAACCAGTTGTATCAAATATGGTGCAATTCATAAAACGCATATGCAGACTTTAAAAAAAGATAAACTGTTCCATTTGAAAATGGATTTTTATGATTTCATATGCCAGGCTTTACAGGGTTAACTTTGCCTTTGAGCAGAGTAGTGAATGCCCAATGTTAATAGTCACTCACATTTTAACAAGTCAGTTTTATATTTACAATTTAAATAAACTTATTAATTAAAATAATTGACAAATCACTGATCCAAATGAGTTGATGCTCTTAAGAAGTGCATAAAGTGGCATACTGGGACTGTATGGTTTGGACTCCTAATTTTTGCTTTGTGTCCTGTAGGAGAGTAACGGTCCTTCAGACGCGTATGTGGCCATCTCCAATGCTGATCGGTTGCAGGCGGAGCCGGAGAGCTTGAGGAAGTGGAGAGAAGAGCAGAGCGAGAGGCTGGAACAGCTCGGTAACTTGAGCATAGTCATAGATGTTCTCCTTAAGATATATTAAAACTATAAAGTTCATTTAGGGTTGAGAGGTTCACCTTTGCTGTTTTTCAGATGCTAACTCCCGTAAGCAGGAGGTAGAGTGGAAGGAGAAAGCGAAGCTGGAGCTGGAGGAGTGGCACACCAGGCAGAACGAGCAGCTGGAGAAGACCAAAGTCAACAACAGGTACACAACACTATTCGAGCAGCTGAAATCTATAAGAGGCCTAGTTTCTGTTTCTTGCTGTTTGATAACAAAAGCACTAGAGAGTGCATGGCTCTGTTGTATTCTGGCTCAGGGTTTTTTTTTTTTTTTTTTTAAAGGAATAGTTAACCCAAAAATGAAAATTAGCTGAAAATGTTTCACCCTAAGGCCATCCAATATGTAGATGAATTTGGTTCTTCATCAGAACTGGTATGGAGGAATTTAGCTTTACGTCACTTGCTCACCAATGGATCCTCTGCAGTGAATGGGTGCTGTCAGAATGAGAGTCCGATGATGAAAACCTCAAAATAATCCACACAACTCCAGTCCATCATTTAACGTCTTGTGAAGCAAGCAAAGCTGTTTATCCATCAATTCAAGCATATGAACTTTAAACTTGCTGCTTCTGGCCAAAATCCATTATCCACTCAAAATATAGTCCACTCAAAAAAGAAACGTTTAATATACACAGCCTGATGTGTCTGTGTAGTTACTGACTATACTATAGTGAGTAACTCAAACATTAGCCCATAACATGAGCGAGTAAATGATTCAGGATCATTTTTGAGTAAACTATTCCTATTATTTAGACTAATGGCAACTATTTTATGACGTTGTGACTCTAATGATATGAGAGGACACAGTGAAAAAGCTATCTGAGCTTGTTGAATGGTCATGTGATCGTGCCCTTGGACACTTCTGCAGTGTTTTGGTCACATGATCATGCCTGGTCCAATCCGAAGCAGTTACTATATCTATGATTGCCACAAAATGTTGTATTCAGCTATTAGAATGGAAGAAGGAGCTCTATGAGAAGCTCTTTCTGCTTCAGGGAAGCATTTTAAATAAATGTATCAATAGACGTGCTGAATAGCATTCATTCCACTGTATTGTATTAAAAAGTAAGTGATATTGGGTCAAAAGTTAAATTTCCTATTTTAAATTCAAGTGCATGTTTTGGCACAAATAAAAATGACAAGTCTCCTTAAATCTCTCTCTGAATATGTTCAATTCCTCTGAATGTGAAATTGTTGGCTTAATTTCCTTGTCTCTATATGTCATGTTTGTCTCTGTTTTTTTCTCTTGTGTGCCGTGTTGTCTACTTTTATGTACTTGGCCTGGTCTTAACACTGCAGTGTTTTGGCTCTGTATGAGTGTTATTTTTCTCCTTCATTTACAGAGAAAAGAAGGTCAGGGAAACATCTGTAGATGGAAAAATCTCCATACAAGTTCTTTGTGCAATTTTCTTTTTTTCTACTTGTTACTTTGCACTTTTATTTAGAAAATGTTTATTTACTATTTATTCAGGTTTTTTAAGGTATCTTATATTTTGATACTTAATTTCCGTAATCTAAATATTCTTAAAAATTAAAAGTTTGTTATTTGGAAGCGTGTAGGCCTTCTTGCATTATTATGCTGTTACATTATGATTATATATTCAGTGGCATAAAATGGTCTTTAAATGACAATAATATCGCGTATCGCAATTATTTCTGGGGCAATATATCGCACAACAAAAAGTTGTTATCGTGACAGGCCTAACTTTTGCATAGTATAGCGTGTTAAGCACTATACACCATATATAATCCTAATTGTCTATTGCCTAAATGCTCCGTTGGTCAAATGTTATTAGTTTTACACTGGCCTAATACAATAAAATAAATAAATGTTTTGGTGTTCACTACACTTGCGCCGGTATGTGCGCACTGACATAAACAAGCGCAGACGAGAAGCACATGGCGGAACATGTGAGAGATGCTCTGAATGAAAGCGCACTCACTCTCTGACAGCAGGTGGTGCTAAACTGCAGCAATAATAATAATAATAATAATAATAATAATTCATTTAAATGCAGCCATTACCCCGGTCACAGATTTTACAAATTTAGACATTACTATTGCTGTAACGTTTTTTTTTATATAAAGCTGCAATCAAATATGCATAGCTTCTTAGGGTTGAATACATTTTTCAGGGTTTCCACTGGTCCTTAAAAAGTCTTTCATTTTTGTTTGATCAAATTTAAGGCCATAACTGGTATAACAAAAGTATTGATTATAATATTTAGAGGCTTTAAATTTGCAGATGGAGAAATGGGTCACTATACGACCTAATGTGATTATTAAACTTCATAAGGCTTTGACTTAAATTGCTGCACATTCATAGTCAAAACTCAGAGCTGTTATGCGTTCTACAGGCTGGCAGTTTCCGAGTAGTTCACAATCAATGGATACCACACATTGATGCTAAGAGAACACTTATGCTGTTGATGAATTACATAATTGTATTAGCAAGGTCTGATTTTTTCTATGTATTGGTACATTAGTACATAAACTTTAATAACATTTCAAAACAGATGTATATATTAAAAAAATGTCTTGATTATTTTAATCTGGCAGTTACACTCTTTTGCAGTTGAATGTAAGCCCCAGTCTGTTTAATAAGTAAGATTAAAAGAATCCGGGTTACGTGATTTATTTTGAGATTATACGTGTACATTTCTACAGTGTTAATTTTATTTGTGCAGATCTTAATAGGTGTTGAAGTATTACATCTGATTTTAAAAACTCTGTAGAAAGTAACCCTGATTCTTATGATGGTAAAATATGCAAATGTAAACAAAATCAATGCCTATTGTATTAGCAGTTTGAACTGCTGTAGTATCTGGAGGTTAGCCAATCATGAGGTCTTTTACATCTAGAGATCTGTTTAATTCAGTTTAAGCTTTAAGAAGCTTTAACTAACAAATTAAGTGTATTTGAGGATTTTAATGTCACACAGTTTCAATTAGAACTGGAGTTAATGCTGATATATAACATTGTGCAGTTGTCCACTTAATGCAAATTTGTCTTTCCTTTGTTGCTGATGTCCCACCACAGGAAAGACTCTGATGAGGCAGACCTTGTGCTTGCAAAGGAAGCCAATCACAAGTGCCCACAGATCGTCATTGCCTTCTACGAGGAGCGTCTGACCTGGCACGAAGACGGCGACAAGAAGGAAAAGAGTGCCACGCCGGTTTAAAGGGCAGAGGGGGGAGGAAAGACGCTGAGTCCTCCAAACCTTGTGCCCTTTGTCACACCGGTGACACTCTCATAGCCAACTTTAACGGACCATTTAGTAAAAAAAAAAAACGGCCAGCAAGCAATGGAGGTTACTGCCCACCATGACAACATCCGTCCACCCTTCATGAAAAAGCATCTCTCACCAGACAAACCGAAAGGCCATGGCGAACAGCGGCTGCAGCAGAGCGGTGGAATGTGATCTCTTTTCTCTTACTCTCTCTGATCTTCCTTCTGTTTTGTCATAATTTGTGTATTTGTGCTCCTACAACTATGTTCTTATGATGTGTCGTGTGCTAGCGTAGATGTGAAATGATGAAAACCCGTACATGTCAAACTTTTATTCACACAGTTGATTTTGTAGTGGTGCTGGACATGACTGAAAATATCAGTTGTGTTTTGCGTTTAACATCTATAACGCTGGATAAAGACGTGACGCTGTTGGTTTTATTTCAAGCTGTCACCCTCTTCTGATTTCTGCTTTGTTTTTTCAATCAGGTAGAATTAATTTTGCTGTATTACAATTTTTGACTGTAATCTCCCATGTGGGCCAAAATTCTGTGATTTTTTTTTTTGTTTGTTTGTTTTCTGATTGTCAGTAAAGCCACATAAAGGAACTATACCGTATAATCACTTTCCCCATATTAAAATTAGAACATTGACATCCATTTTTTTCCCTTTCTCCCTCTAATGTCTTTGCAAAACTCTCCTACTTTCAGAATTGGCCCTTTTTTAACCACTCTTACCTTTGAACTTATCACTGTTGCTTGCAGGAGGGCAGACAATCTTCATCATGCGAGTGTGTAATGGGACATTTTTATCTGTTTCTACACACTTTTTCCATGATACTCATTTTGCTCCAGAAGTTTAACTGATATACTCCCTCTTGTGGCTGATTTGGTGAACACATTCCCTGTTTGACCCCATGAACTCAGAGCTGTTCTCATTCACGTGGTAGTTTAAGCATATGTCGGGTTCTTATTACTTTTTTAACCTAGAGTTGACTCAATAAAATGGTGTTTATCAAGGTTACATGCCTATACTAGAGTTTTGTGCCCTGTAGTGCTTTTTTGTGTGCTTTGCAAAGCCATTGAACAAAAGCTATATCTTCGAGATAATTTACAACAGGAAGAGCTTGTTTTATTTTAAATGTATGGATGCAGTCCACTCACAGCAGTAGAATAGGGAGAAAGGCTTAGTTTGAGTTGTTTGTAATGAGGGGGAGTTTTTAAACCCGGTTGAACATAATGTGTAGTTACTTTTTTCTTTTTGGTTTGTTTTTTTGTTATATTACAAAAGAGGATGGTCCTTTTGTAATGATCATGATCATTTATACACATGACTCAGTTCTAGCAGTTGTTTTTACAATGTGCAACAATAGTTGTCTTTTGCTATGTTAAATGCATAGCCTGTCCTGTACCATATTGTAGTAAATCTAGTTTCAACACTAACAGTTGAACGTTTCTGGAAACCCTTAACCCTGGCTTTTTTTTTAACAAAATAAATGTCATTGTAGTGCTGAGATTATGAAGTTTCACTCTATGCAATGTTTGTGAAAAAACTCATTTTAAAACGAGCCCAGTTGTCATTGCAGTGCAGTATTAAGTTTGGCCTGAAAAGCACTGCTGATATGCACCAGCAGATGTCATAATGGAGCAAGTCTTGTCTGTTTGTTTCTACTGCTCAAAAAATATACACCATAAAAGTTGCATAGGGATTGTGAAGTAATACAGTGAAGAAGAAAAAAAGGATTCTTGGGCTTATTTGTACATTTTATCCTAAATAAAAGTAAAATATTTGGCCTATAAATGCATTATATTCACTGATATTTGAGCACTGATATTTAAGAGCTCATATATCAACTTATTTCTCTAATTTGACCTAGTCTTGATGCAGTTTAAAGGCACAATATGTAAGATTTTTTTTAATTAAAATATCCAAAAACCACTAGAACAGTGTTATATATTTTGATATTTTGTGTACTTACATTATCCCAAATGTTTCGAAGAATGTTTAAATCCAGAGAAATAAGCTATTTTAATTAGTGACACAGAACGTGTCCATAGTGTCATTGTGTCGCCTGCCAATGACGTCATAACCCCTCGATTTCCGGTTTTGTTTTGTAGAAAACATGGAAACACCAAAGACGCTTTAATATGTTGTGTGTTTTAATAGATCGGTGACAACCACACAGAGTAGCATAATAACAGATCTTTCAAATGCATCGTATGATAAAACAGCGCTGCTTTCCCGCCCCCCCCCATACGCACGACCGAAAGGAGCGGAAGCGGTCGACTGGCATAATAAAAGCTCCTGTTTTCGAGCCGTGTGTCAGGCTCGTTCAGCGGCCTCGTTTCGCTTCGACGGCTTTCAGCCTCACCCTGCTTCATTATACTACGTTAACAAATCATTAGCTCATCCATGAACATGATTTCTGCCCGAGTCCCGTCGGATTGCATCGGCTGTGGGGATGAAGACTACAACTCCCATGATTCCACACTCAGTCATAGCGTCATCAAACTACGCCTTTGCCTCTTTGTTTATTTTGAATACGCGCCCTCCAGCGGCGAAAATTACATATTGTGCCTTTAATGCCAGTTTTACTCTGTTTCATGCAACTTCCCCATGCAGAACATTTATATGAATGCCATACATTTTTTTCTATAGTCCACTCTTGCTCAATTTCACAGATATTCAATATCGCAGTCCTATCTTATGGATGATGACAATAGCCAAGCCCTGCAGAGCCTCATTATATAGGCTTTCAGTTCACTCTTTTCCTTTCATGTCATGTTTCTATTGTGAATGTGGCTTGTAGCTCCTTCATGGCCTAAGAGTCTAACGTCTGAGCCGTAACCCCTCCCTGTAATGCCGTTTTCTCGACTACCTCAGTGGCAGTGGAATTTTCCAAAGGGTAAAAGGAGGAAGCGGTTGAGCACTGAAATGGAATGCAGAGGTCACTAGTAAATTTTCAGCCCTGGGCAGCAGAAGTCTCAGCAGATAGCTGAGAGGCTGCATTTATGCTTTATGGAACGCTGGAGAGCTGTCACACTCGCTCTGCTCCACCAAGACTCGAGGAATGTAAGATCAGGAGAGACGGAGTGTAGAATATGTGGTCACATTTGAAAACGGGAACAAAATGACTGTTGAAATGTATTAGAATTAGTGTGTTAAATTAATAGTTTGACCAAAAATAAAAAAAACTATAATCCAACCTGTATGTTCTTAAATTAAAGGTTCTTTACTGGCATTGATGGTTCCTTAACATCCATATAAAAAGTGGGGTTTTGCAGTTTTTTTGGTTCCCCAAAGAACCTTTCAGTGATCAGTTCTTAAAAGAACCATTGTTTTCTTATTGTGAAGAACATTTTATTCTAAAGAAACATTTTCCACTCTAGAACCTTTTGTCCAATGGAAAGTTTCCATAGATGTTGAAGGTTCTTTATGGAACCAATAAAAAACATTATTTTTAAGAGCATGGAACCTTTCCATTGCACAAAAGGTTCTTTAAAGTGGAAAAAGGTTCTGTAGATTATTAAAATGTCCTTCACACTAAGAAAAAAATGTAACAATTTTAAGAACTGATTACTGAAAGGTTCTTTGAGGAACCAAAAATGGTGGTTCTTTTAAAACAACAGATTCTTTATTGGCAGTAATGGTTCCATGAAGAACCTTTAATAAACATAGAACCCTTCTAATCCACAAAAGTTCTTTAGATTATTATAATGTTCTTCACACTAAGAAAAAGTGCTTCTTTTAAGAATTTTTCACAGAAAAATTGTCCGGGGAACCAAAAATCGTGGTTCTACATTATTAAAACCGAAGGTCTTTATTGACATGAAGAATCATTCATGGATCCTTTCCAATACACAAAATATTCTTTAGATTATTAAAATGTTCTTTTAAAAACTGGTCACTGAATGGTTATGGCATCGCTGGAAAAAAAAAAAAACAGTTCATGACATTACATTTAGTGTATGACTTTCTTTCTGTATTTATTTCTTCAAAATATCCCTTTGTTTCACTGAAGAAAATCATACAGGTTTGGAATGACCTAAGGGTGAGTAAATGATCACAGAATTTTAACTTTTGGACAAAATATTTCTTTAAAGTCATAATCCCCATGATGAAAGCCACAATGTTGAACTACGAGCCGAACGTTGGGGTTTGCCTTTCCTGAGTGATGTTTTTACCAATAAGCAAAGAGTGCACGCTTTGAATATGTTTGCTGAAGCAAAAAAAGTCAGCAAGCGGCGAATAGTCTGTGTGCATGATTTCTGGGATGCATGTGGTCCGATGGGTTTTTGCTGCGCATAAGCTCTAATAGATGGCTGTCAAGGGGACCACTGAACAGCTGTGGTCGAGGGCTGGAGTTTGGGAGGGGAAGACTGCAGCAGTGTCCAATCCACACTGCACCACCATTCAAACCGCACACAGTGTGCATTTGAGCACCATCACTTCCTTTGGATCAGCATTCAGCGTCCTGTAGGCCTCATAAGTACGATATGTGACAGTTTTCCGAATCCCTTTCCGAACCTAAAAAACCTGAACGCACACGCAAGTGCAATTACACCACGATTCTGCTGAATTTTAGTGCAAGATTATGTGCGGCGTCATTAAGAACGCAAGGTCACATCGTTAGATGTGACCTTTCGAGACACTTATCGGCCCTCTATTGGGTTGTTGTTCGAATCGTGAACCGTAATGCCGTAGCGATGCTCTTTGCGTTCAATGTGCAGCAAAGCGTCCAGAAACAAAGCCCAACCTCTCCCAGCAGCCCCCCCCCCCCC